AGCGGTTGAAAAACAAAAGATGACGCATACTCTGCTTATTTCTGAGTATGTATGATGAAAGAAATTTCAGAAATGTGAATATAAAAAAAACTAGTATGTGTAGATAAATCCCATAACTGCAACTAAGAACAATTCGAGATGGATTGGTGTCCGAGGTGGTTAGAGAGGCAAATATCTCTCCATTCTTTACTTCCTCATCAAGTGGCGTGTGGAAGTGACGCATCTCCAGCCATGCCCTTGTAATAATGGCAAGTGACAATCAAACTGAAATCATGTAAAGACTAGAAAGCATTTGCATGACTAATTTCAATATAACAGGGAGAGTGTGTGCAGTGGTTTACTGACAGAGTAAGGTGCAGTTGTGTGTGGCGTTCATCTCGTTCCTGAGCAGTTGGTGAGAGCCCAACAAATCTTTTGTCTCCCTTGTAGTCATCTCCACATGTGTGTTAGTTGGTGGTTGTTTGTTAGCCAGCTAGCTGAACTTTTATCCAGAAGAATTAGGCACGAAATCACTTGCGTTTTTTTTCGACATCTTCAGCTGTTGGCAAACAGTTTTCCAGTCCTCCGTGTTTGGGCTCATTGGGAGCGGTTTGGGGTTCAGGGTCTTTGACGAGCCGGGGATCGAACTGTCCAACCTTGTGCTTACAGGATGACCCGCTCTGAGTCACAGCCCCAACATAAAAAATAGATTTAAAAAAATGGATTTGTCATTTGACTAATGGAGACATGCGGCTAGGTGTAAATCAAATATAGAGTGGGCAATTATTTTTTGTTATATGTCTTCACATCCCGACAAACAATCAGTAAATCAAATGCTCTGACAAAAAATGAAAGAAAAAAAAAAATCGCTGGACCGGAATAAGCCCGTCCAATCATTTCATTCGGTCCAAATAAAATTATTGGACGACCTACCTGCCTGTCTACCTGCATGCACTCTACTCGTGCACGCATTGCACATCACCGGAGTTCTCCACAAGCTGCTGGCTTGACAGCTTCATGTTCATAATGATCATTTGGGGGGCTGGCTGTGAAGGGAGGCTTGAAGTGTTGACAACTTTCTCGCTAGATTTGGTGGCTTTTGGAGCTGCTGCTTCCATTGGAAAAGAGTTTTCAACGCTGGTCTGGGTTTTTTGCATGGATCATTTTGAAAAACTAGTTTACTCTCGCTAGTTTCTCAAATGTTACCGACCCAAGCTTTGAGTCTTACACAGATTTCATCTGGATTTCAGACAAATTGATGGATGGATTGGTTTGTTAATACCCAGCACATTCTCACACCGATGTGTCAAATACCGCAACTCTGTCAGTGGCTTTAAGCTTCAAATTATTAAGCTGTCAACATACGCATAGTGTCTTTTAAAGAAAAACTTAGGTCTTCACAGGAAGCTAAGTCTAAGTTTGTTTGGCCCACCCGTCCTGTGTGGACTATCTCGCTCATCATACTATGTGAGTTGCTCCTGTAATGCAGCGGGTGGTGCATTAAATATGCGTTGTTGTCAGACGCAGAGGAGCCCTGACTAAGCTGTATAATGTGATACGTTGGGAGTAGGAACGGGTTGTAATATCAGTATCGTATCTCACATACTCTTGCATTCTTATAATATTTTCATCTTAACTTTTAAATCTTCCAGTTAGCCGTTACAAGCTCGTAGATTGTCATACCTGCATTTCTCGTGATTGGCGTCGCTGACGATAACCTGAATGTTCCTCTTTCTTTGTATCTGGAGAGGCCGGGGGGGGGGTTATTCTGGTCAAACAGACGTCATGTAGGAGTTCATTGTATAAGACCTTGCTGGCCCGATGCTGAGACTTATGGTTTCCTATTTCTGTATAGCTCGAACCCCATGACGGGATGGAGCCTACTTTTTATGTGGGACTTTTTATGTGCTGTTTCTTTTTAAACTGGGTGTTTTCTGTGCATCAAGGCAGATGCAGGGTGATCCTTTGTTTATGTTATGCCTGTGCCAATATATTGCCTTGAAAATTGAATCAACTTATGACCTGTTGACTGATTCCTTCTTCATCTGATGAGCATCAATTACTTCCTCGTAGAGATCTAATTGATCAAAATATGAGCTTTTGAATGCCTATTTTAGCAGTCTTTTTAGGCTCTATATCACCAATGCACTCTTTCAAATTGATTTTAAATTGTTGACGGCGCATAATAACCCCCAGATGTAGCTCCCATCTCACCTGTCAAAGAGAAAATATGAAGTCCTTGGGTGTGTATATTTCTCCTGCTTCATTATTTACTGGTGAAGTGCCTTTTACTTTTCTCCCCTTTGGTTATTTCTGTGCTGTGTTATAAATCATAATCCCCTCTCCTGAAAGCCATGGTGAAAACAGTCAACATTTGTCTTTCACATAACTGCAGCCCTTCTTGGGGGTTCGAACACATTTGTCAACAAATTGGTTTTTGCAGCCCTAAAGTTCAACATCATGTTGGTCCAAATGGATTCAAAATGTTATGACTAAAATTTAAAACCAATTAATCAAACTTGGAATATTCAATAGATGTAGCTGACAGCTTTTTATTTTTCATTTTTAAATGATTTGCTGTTTGGCCTCAACAAGCCGTGGCTCAGCTCCAGTTTGTGTGTATTTCTGCTTGGCAATAAGTTGCTTATTTTTGATAAGGAATAAACGCGCTTCATTCATCCATATCAGCCTCTTTCTTCTCAGCTTCTCAACGCTGGTTTCCTAACAGAACCGATTATAAAGTTTCAGTGATTACTTGGCTCAGTAATGTCTGGCTGCTTGTCTCTTCACGAGCCCAGACTGCAGCTGTAATTCTATAAAGTGTGGCCTGCAAGTTTCTCTCGTTCAAAACTGAGGTATGAAGAAAATCCCATCCTTTTAAACATTCCTCCAGCTCCTGCACTGGAGAACCAGTAGCAGTCGTGTTTCTAGTGCAGCTGCAATGAGGCGTGGAAATGAAATGGAAATCTTCATCAATCAACATAGCTGGCCAGTTGTGGTGTCAGTGCATTAGGAATAAAGAAAATGGGTTGCTTTATAGTGTTCAACAGTCATACACGGAAAATTACATCAAAGTGAAGGCAAAACGTGTCCTGAAAAAAAAGAGTTGTGTTGCTGGGTCTTGCTGTTGTCAATCATGTTGCCTTTTGCCTTCATGCTTTTTACGGGTGTTATAGTTACTATTATCGCCACCAGGAGATCATGTGATTGCTTGTGTGACCACATCCGTGAGTGATTGTGCCCCTCTGTGTCTGTCCCCGGCAAATCTTGCATTCCGGTGCGGCAAACTGGATTATATTTTGGGGTGACCACTTTCTCCAAACCCCTTTTATTGCCAGTTTTATGCTGCCAGTCTTAACCAGCCCCCAACCGGTAGGAGCTGCTAGTGATAACGTGCATTTGTACTGAATTGAGAATCGAATTCGAATCGGAAATCGTTTAAAATCAAGAATCGTTTTTTTTAATTGAATCATGACCCCATGAATCAAAATGTATTTGTGAATACTGAGATTCACATTTCTAGACCTGAGACACAGTTATTCCTTTCCTTTTTATTCATATAAACATTGACATGTATTGTCGAAAAAATAGACTTGATAGCTTCATGTCGTGGTCACGCCCATGAGACGGAGCTGAGACGCACGCCTCCACAGAGCCGGTGCAGACATCTGTGTAGATTAAAATTAGAGAGAATGTGAGAGTGTGAAACGTGCGAGTGATAAAACCCGTCTGACACACTTGTGGTCTAGGCGGGGGGTTAAATGTGGGTTGTATTCATCACTCGCACAATTCAGCAGCGGCCCTCACAGAGACACCTGGCGGAGATTAGCGCTCTACTGAGTGCACCTTTCTAGTTTGAGCTGGATTTAGTCTCTGCCTCGTGTTTGGTTATTGCATTTCCTGTGTTTTATTTCTATTTAAACTGTAGCTGGTGTGCCGTCTTGGCCAGGTCTCCTTCAGTAAGAGATTACTATCTCAGGGGACTTCCTGGTTGAGTAAAAGAATAGAAAGAAAGAAAAGAAAAAGCCTAAATTGATCCTTATGGCTTTGTTAGCCTAATTAAGATTACAGAGATAAAAAGCATTCTATTTGGCAGTCAGTACAAAGCGTTTTTACGCCATTTCTTTATTCAATTTCACGACAGTCTTTAGCATTTTAGCACTTGTATCAATGTTTTTTTCCAAGTGAATGGATCGGACACATCCAGTCGGTTGTATGTTTGGTATTTCGACAGGATATGACTTCTGCTTACTCTAACATCACCTATTACTCTGTCTTGCAGTGTCACATGGTGTTTATGTTTATTTCATGTAATAAAAAACATGTTTTATCTATTACGAACCCTTCCACAAGCAAACAAATTACTCTCTGATGCACTTGCGATTTTGATCAGACTGACAAAACCAAACCCGGCCTCTTTCAAGTTTTCAGTACAATGTTGTGGCCCCTGGTGTCGAGCTGTCAGTTGAATACGTTTCTGTAGCGAGCATCTGATGTCCCTACGACCAACTGTTTTGCAGCACATCACAGCTGCTAACACAACTTAGAAATTGCTGAAGCTAACCCGCTTATCGCGCTTAGTAAGAAATGTTTTGTGTGAAGCTCAAAGGACAGCTGAGGCTTACAATATGCAGCTTAGACTGATGAAAACTGAACCAGGTGTGGCAAAAGTAATATGATACCGCGGTCTAACGTGATCTCACTTTTTAGACAACATATTGCTTTACGGTGCACAAATACATAGATCCCAGGGAATTTGGACAAGCGTATGAGGGGGTCTAACATTACCACCAGGTCCTGAATGCCCTGTGTGACATTTTATGACCACATTGGCAAGTACCACCCTTAAAAGACTGCAGTGAGATGAGGATTTAAGAGGTTTTCAGTGTGTGCTTCACTTTGTGCCTCTTAAGTAAAGAGCACTGTGGACTTTACTTCACTTTCAGCACAGTAGATCACCTCTCAAAAATGTGTCTTCACATTCATTTTTTAGAGTAGATTAGCATAAAAAAAGCACCCCGTAGTATAAAATGTTATTTATTTTAATAGAATTTCCATCTGCCCATCCCATTTAAACAAGTACTTTAAGAGTTAATGAACACATTATCCTCAGAGCAGACCTTGACTGTGAAATTAATTAGACAACATAAAATCCCTATGGCATAAAACTCCATTTAACGCATAAATATTGGGTAGTGCTCAGCTGAAAAGCTGGAAAATGGGTTACTTAAGGCAAAAAATGATTAATGTCAGCATTTTTTAGAAGCACCGGTGACAATATAACCTCAGGACTTGGACAGAGTGCTCAGACTTATTGAGCTGCCAAATGGGTAAACAAATTATTTTTGTTACACTTGATGACAAATTGTTAATCTCATGACTTTTAGGAGCACTCTGAAACGCTGTAACACTCTCTTTTGGTTTAGCCACGTCAAAAACACCAACTTAATCTTAATCTGCTCTTTAGATTGTACTATGTTCAAAACTCACAGCCATTAAAAGCGTCACTATTGTGCCATAGCATAATGTACAAGGAAAGAATAGAATACAGAAAAATATGTATAGCTGAACATGTTAATACATTTAATGACAAACTTCCTTTGTTGGCAGAAAGGAGCACATACTGTAGGACTGGCCTTTTTTTTTTTTCTTTCACTCAGTGTGTTAACATGCACAGATTTTCAATTTGACTGTTACTAGATTATGAAATACTTCAGTTATTAAAAGTGATGTGGAGTAAAGTTGAAGCCCAGTTGACAAAGTTGCTTATCTATGACAAGTAATGAGATACGGGCTACTCTGCTGATTTTCTTCTGCTCCAACTGGTTCTTAATAAAAAAAAAAGAAAAAATCAATTTCAGAGAATCAAAATCCCAAAATATGTTTTTTCAAAACATGGAATTTTCTTATAATAATACAACTTCTTTCTCTAAATGTTAAGATCTTTTCCACCAAAACTATTACTTAAGTCTTATAATACTGTTACTCTCCTCTCTCAACATTTTAAGTATATGTTTGTAATTTAATAACTTCTTTCTGGAAACTACATCTTTATTTTCTTAAAATATGACTATATTCACTATCCTTTTTTCATTGATCTAATACCACCCCTAATGCTTGTGTCATACCTGTCAATTACTTGATGGGACAATATAAAATGGAGAAATGACTTTTAACTGTTCAACAAGCATTTCAAGCAACAGCAGCTGGGTTATTGTGCTTTGTACGTCAATCAAAGCAAAAGACGGCATCAAAATCCCAACAACAACATATTTCTCTTAAGTTGTGCTAATAGAAAGATTGTAGACTGATCTCCACATCTTTCCAGACAGTATCCCGCCTATCATGTTTATTTCTGGAAATCCAGCAGCTGTGATCCATGTGCTTTATTTTAACCTTTACCTTAACTTGGTTAAACACAGTAATCTGGTTGTTGAGTGCATGTTAACATACTGATTGAGTATTGCCAATACAAATTTACAGAAATTTGAATATTTAAATTCAACATTTGCTTTTAAAGATTCAGTCCCTGAAGTAAAAAAAAAAAAAGAAGTCGAGGGTATAGTGTCAAAATGCGTTTGCTGCTGTGCAATTTCTATCGCTCATAAACCGAGTAGATATTTGAAGCGAAGATAGTATGCATCCCGACTGCAGTTTGTACGGTTACATGGCCTCCATTCAAAGTTCACATGATTTTCATGTTGAATTGTATGGGAGCCTCAGTTGGACTGGCCTCCTCTGGTTCCTCTTTACGGGGCACATATTCAACCTCTATACTTGACTTTGTATTGTGTTTCCCTCGACTCCAGAGGAACAATATTACAAGACAGAAGAGGACCACTCCGAGGAAAGAGATAAATCCCATGGTGGTTGCGATGATGAGGGTCTTTACATCAAACGGGAATGAAACTGAGGCCCGGGTCACATTTGCACCTTCGTCACTGGGCTGGTTTGAAATGAAGGCAAACGTCTTGTTTGGCTGGTGTGGCCAATTGGGGGAGTAGCTATGCACAAAAAGGTGAGCAGCTTTGGTGTCGTTGCCCGCTGCATTGCTTGCAATGCACAGGTAGGTGCCGTTGTCTTGGATTTGGGCGTAACGCACCTCCAATGTGCCTTCAGTAGACACAGAAAGTCTTGACCCCGCAGTTTTGGTAGTGATGTAGTCCTTCTTAGGGGAAAGCCACATTATCACAGGGACCGGATCACCCTCAGCTTGGCAAGTGAAATGAACCGTAGTTCCTTCATCTACATGGCTCTTTTGGACCTTGTAATCCATGATCTTGGATTTCTGGCAGATGAAATAGTCAGAAGGGAGAATATCTGGGAAGTCCTTGAACTCTTTTCCTTGAACAACCTCTGGTGAAGTGCACATGGGCTGTTGTCTGTTAAAATTGAGCCTCCACCGCCGGCGGAAGACCCAGAGCAAGCGACAGTCGCAGGCCAACGGGTTTTCATACAACGCCAGAGTTTCCAGGTTCCCCACTGAGTGGAAGACAGACTCCTCTATGGTGCTCAGGCTATTGCTGGATACATTGAGTACACGGAGGTGGTTGAGTCCTCGGAAAGAGTAGGGCTCAATGGCAGCTAATCTCCCACCAGCCAAATGAAAAGCCTGAAGCTTCTGGAGATTGAACAGTTTGTTCCCTTCCACAGTATGAATGGGATTGAAAGACAGATTCAAAAAGCGGAGATATCTGAGGTGACTGATGGCTTGGTAGGGGATGATGGTAAGATTACAATTTGTGATGGACAGTGATGTGAGGTTGAGCCCAAACAAGCATTTTCCGGTCATGGTATCCAGGGCAGGCATTTGGGAAATCTCCAGCACTCTGAGCCGATACAGCCTCTTAAAGGAGTAATCCCTCATGACAGTGACGTTGAGATAGCGCAATCGAAGTGACAGCAGGTTATGCAGATGGCTCAGGGCCTCAGTGGGCACTGAGGCCAGATTGCATCCCTCGATGTTGAGGCTTTCAAGGTTGCTGAGGCCATGAAATGATCGGGGGGAGATGAATACGAGGTCATTGTCACCGACCTCCAGTGCCCTCAGGTTGTACAGCTCCTGGAACATATAGTCGAGGAGAATGACAATTTTGTTCTCGCTGATATCCAGCTGGGTGAGGTTAGTCAGGCCTGTGAACACCCCCAGCTGAATGAGCTTGAGGTGGTTGTTGCGCAAACCTAGAGTCCGAAGGTTCATAAGGTTGCCGAAAGCCCCAGGCTCAATGGATGAGATCGTGTTCTCGTTAAGCTGCAGCTCCTCCAGCTGAGGGTAATTAATGAACTCCTCGGGCCCCAGAGTTTTCAGGCGGTTCTTGCTCAGGTCCATCAGCTTTGTTTCGGTGGGTATGCCCTCGGGAAGAGCTGCCAGTCTCCGTCGGTGGCACACGACGGAGCGCTCCTGACCGTTGCAGTCGCATCGGGAGGGGCAACCGGTGGTGGATCCGGAAAGGACGGTGCCCAGCATGAGGATCAGGATGGGCTGCCAGCATGCCACCAAGTAGCTGTGCCCTCCTGCCTCCCCCAACACCATCCTACTGCTTACCTGTGGAGACATGGAGAAAGAGGAGTGGTGTTAAACAAATGGCAATGACAATATTGAACAATTCCGTGTCATGTCTTAATAACAGATGGAGAACATGCCGTCTATGTCATTAGTTTCTAAGATTAGAAAATTGCACCAAATCAGGCTCCTATTCAGCCCACGATCCCGTTATGTTTTTTATTAAATGTGTGAATAACTATCGTGTGTCCTTGATTCTAACTGAACACACTCCTGACAGCTTTTCAGGAAGCAAAAGCTAAATGGAAACCATGTCAGTGAATAGACTTTTACATATCTACCTGGATATGTCTGTCCAAATATATACAAATAACAAAGGATTGATTGTATTTTTTAGTCTAATAATTAATTTACTGAAATGCTTTCCTTACATTTCATAAAAAGTTTGATAAACATTGCTTTACAATTACAATTTTTGTGACAATGAACCATTGTCTGATACTAATGAGTCCTCCCATGTTACAGGCACCATTTAGTCTATTTTCTTAACATAACCTACAGTATGAGCTCAATACATTTCTTACTTCAGAGTGAAAAACACCTTTAAGAGCCTATCAGCCTTTCCTTGCATAACATTTCACTATGGTGATTTTCCTCACAAGTAATGAAATCAGCCAATCAATGAAAGGACTTGGTCACACAATATAACCACCCTGCTGCGCGTCTGACTTCAGAGCATGCTGAAAACAATTACTGCCAATATCAGTGACACATCGTCTCCGCTCACACAGACTGTTTTTTAATGAGCAGCAAAGAAAATGCCGTGGTATATCTTTAAATGGCTCCCTGAATTATTTGCAAACTTAACACATCCTATGCCACTGCTGAGCTCCTGACCTTGCGGTGACATAAAACAGAGATTGCTGCCAAGCGGTGATAAATGGAGAGAGGGCGATTGTCAGAGGACTTTAAACCCCTATTTGATTTTGACTCGGGGGAACTTTAACCTGCTAAAACCTTCAAGCTCTGCTTCTCCCATCAATCACGCGATTTCAGTCGAAGCTTTAACGGGTGGGACACACTCTGAGAGCAGCCTCATGCAAAGTAAGAGAAATCCGGCTGTGATTCGTTTCCATTTTGGCATTTTTATCTGAACAAAAACAGGTGAACACTGAAGCAAAACATTGGTGTGATGTGATAGACAAGTAGTGTATTGCTTTACAACGGGGAACTAATTAAATTCCACATTATCGTGATATCATCAAAGAACAATCAGTGATGTACAGATTTGTGTCTTTTAGATTTCAAAGAGGAACTTTCATTATGAGAGGATAATACAGTCTGTCAGAATATTTATCATGCGTGGGCACTGAATAGGCACTGCGTATTCTGTCTGTAACTCACTCGCAAAAGTGCTTCGGTGGGAGCGCTTCAAATTATCGGTGTAGTGCCTTTTAGAAAGCTCTTTGGCTGTCTACCACGCTTTTGCAGCTTGAAAACATATATTAAACTTGATAGTGTAGCTTAGAACGATTCCGCTTTTATTGCACAAACACAAATTAAACATCACCCTCTCTGTGAATGGAAACCGTGGGACTGGAGCAGTTCGGATTGTGGTCTGAGTAGTTCCAATGGAAAACGGTAATTGCAGCTTCTGTTTTCACTTCCTCCAGAGCTATTCATTTCTGTTGGCTGTATATGTCAGATGCATTGGGGTGTCAGTCCAGTGTGTGTTGTGTGTGTGTGTGTGTGTGCTTTTTTTTGTACAATGCTCTATAAACACAGACTGTCAGAATAAAAGCTTAAGTGTCCATCGGTGGTTCCTTCGTGAACTCCCACTCCAGTCTCGCACTAATTACATGAATTTGCAGATGGATGGCATGGACACTTGTGTAAAGGGTGGCGAAATATCTTCTAAGACAAGACAAGCGCACATTTACCTTTGATACGTTGTGACGGATGCTAAACCTTTGAGTGAAATGGAAAAATTATACTAAAAGCAGAAAACGGGTGACGTGTTTATCTGTGAGTGTGATTTTATATTTCGGCCACATGAGTCAAGAAGCGGCTCGCTGATGTCCTTGCTAATCGAAAAAAAACAAGCAAAAGCGAAAGCGGTGGTGAGTTTCTCCCTGGAGTACCATGCATGATGTATGATTCATAGTGTCGTGAGGGCAGGGGTACTATCAGTGGAGCCTGGCCTCACGGCTCAGATCTGCTCGCTGTATCACCACTTTGTTTTGACCTCGAGCTGAGATTGTGAAAAAGATAGAGCTGGCAAGTGACCTCTCAATTACTACCTTATATACACAGTTTTGAGTCTTTATGTCTTTGGATTGGGGTTTAAAGTCTTTGAATTGAAATAAGAAATCCATTTTAGCCCTTGATGTGCAGTGAAGGAGTGGAGTGCAGCCCTTTTTCCTCTCTCCTGTCCTTGTTTGACCGCTTGCATTTTCTCCGCGGACCTCTCACCCTGCCGTAGTCTTCTCTCAAAAAGCATGTCTCAGCTCGCCATGAGTCTCGTGTTGCCTTGAATCCCTGCTTCTCCTCTCACATGGCCTCGTGGTCTGATTCGGGGCAAACCGAATAGAGGTGTGTGCCGCTAATGGTTCAATGGATTTCTGCAGGCGGGATGCAGACACGTGAGCTACAGGCATCGGTGCATTTATGCCCTTTGGTTGCTTTTAAGTACGCCGGTTGTGCTGCACAAACCGGGATATTTACACTATGAGGAAGTGGAAACTGTACTGTATTTGTCTGCCGTGTCCCTGTCGGATAGTTCCAACTTGTGACATCTGTCTCGAATCATCAATGCAGCTTGAGTTCTGAGAGTATTTCCCTTGATATATTGAATTATTTAGCATTTTGTTTTGCTTGATGTGCATGCAGTTTGGGGCACGGATGATTTGATTTGTGATTTCTATTTTTGGTTTTCTTTTCATAGCTGACAAATGCTGCTTATTGACATTCAAACATATGTCCCAACTTTTGCAGCGTTGTAATTAATTACAATTGTATTCAATTCAATTCAATCAGAGTTGAGGTCCATTTTCACAGGGCTGGGCCATAATTCAATATTATTTATTGTGTTTTAGTGGAATCTCTTTGTGATGAAATCATATATCTCAATATCGTAACATAAAAACCAAATTAATAACAAGCACATACCAAAGATGTTGCTGTAACGTTAATTAAATAAGAAAATACTCTTACATACATTTTTCAAGTATTTAATGAACAGAAATATACAAAAATAGATTTATTACATTTAGACTATTTACTTAATTATCAGAAAAAACGGGATTTATATATCTTGTTTTAAGATATTAATTTCATAGGGATAGAAAGTTTTGGGCATATTGTCCAGCTGTACTTTTCATGAAGGTCTTACTTTATTTTGTCACAACCCTTAGCCTAAGCATGAGAGCATTGTCTTTTGGGAAACACCATTTACTGACGTGAAAAAACCTGCAATGTCTTTGTGGAAGTTTTTACACCTCACACATGGTTCAGTCCGTGATGCTTTTCTGAATCCCCCCCCCCCTGGGGAACAATAAAGGCTCATCTCATCAACAGGGGTGCAATGGAACACAAAACTTAGCCCCATCACGTTTGTTTGCCGATCGGCAGGGATTGCGAATCGTCGATGAGTCCTTTTCGGCGAAAAATACCCACAATATAAAAGATTGTATGTTTATTGTTTATTTCTTTGAAAGATCTTGGCATTAATATGTATTAGAGTCTGCTTGGATCTCGTGTTATTCTCATCTATTTTATATTGCTGTGAAACCCCTTAAGTCCTTCAAACAACTGAAAGTTTCTTGCCAAAAACTAAATTTGACAAGATTACATTTGAACACATCGTGATGTCATTATAACCTTCGCCCAGTACTAATTTTTACTGCGTCGAATCACGGATCAACTATGGTCTGTTAATCTTATCTTTGCGCTCTGATTCTAGCATCCATCTTCTTCATTACAGTCTTGGACAATGTGCTCATCAGCACCTCTCTCACACTTGTCGTTGGCAAACAATTCCCAAACAACTTTTCATTATTGTTCAGAGAATAGAGGATTAAACAAAGAAAAGGAAGCTACAGCAGCAAGTAGCAAGTCAAAATGATTTTAAAAGATTGCCTGAAATCACATGTTTATGTTCAACTGACAAATTAAAGGCAAACATTTGAAAGTCCAAAAGCAAACAAACAAGAAAAGCTTGTGGGCTGCATAAAAGTGACTCTCTCTTTCAGTAGACTGTACTGCAGTATATGATGTCTAAACTGCAGATGGGACACAGATCTCCACCATGTGCAGATCTGGACACGCGACAGCTTCACATACCAACAGCTGTGCTATTACATAAACCCAACGACCCGCAATAATGATCAAATACTTGCAGGGTGAATATAGACACTTAAGAACCGCACTGCCAGCTAATCTGCATCCTCCAGAGGAACGAGCGGTGAGGTATGAGAAATCCCGTGAAAACAAATCCTCCATGCAAGCGTTGGATAAAGGTAACACCCCCTGCAAGCCAAAAAAGAAGCGGCATGGCCTGACGCGCCACCATGCCAGGATCAAATGATTGGAGAAGGCGTGCATGTGAACGACTCCTGTTGAGATGCAGAAACACACCTGCATGGGGTCAGCAAACTCCTGCTCTCTTTCTCTTTTTGTTTTGACAGCATCCTCTCTTTTTGGGGCACTCTCACCGTCATCCTACCAACACATTCTATACATACAAGGACTACCGACAAGAAGAAACTACTTTAAGAAACAACCATCAGAGCAAAATGTGAACTTATATCTTCTGAAAACATTATTAGTTAAGCAACTGATGTTATCTATTTTAGGAAAGTTGAAGTTAATTTCCGAAACGAAAATAGACGGCACACATGAGAAGCTCTGTGTGCTTTACATTAGCACCAATGGCAAACATGCTACCCATCTTTTCCGCATTGAATAATTGGAATGACAGAATAAAGCACCGGTGAGATATGACAAAAAGCATCTGCAAAGCTCTGTGCCGCTGTGTTAACAAT